AGAGAGAGAGAGAGAGAGAGAGAGAGAGAGAGAGAGAGAGAGAGAGAAAGAAAGCAAAGTAAGACTATTCGTTAAATGAGTATAATGGATATAGCCTATTCTCCCCATCTTTTAAATCATAAACACTTCAAAAGAGGCTCTAAGAATAGTGAAATACCCAAGATAAAGTTGGGGTGGAAGCAAATTTTCCATGTTTAGTAGAAAATGCTTGAAACGCAATATAAAATAACAACCTTGGAGTCCAAAGGTAGGCCACTTTCCTCTTGGATGGAAGTCTGGCTTTTGAATGTTCGAGTGGCTTGTCATTTTTCAAGTGTGCAATTAGCTTACTTCTCTCATCCCCCTTCCAGATGCCACAACACAGGCTCCTGACCATGGCTGACACTACAAACCCGATCCACACTGTCTTGAGAATTGCTAACTTGAAGTTCGTGCTGACCGGGAGTTTTCTGCCTATTTGAGCTCTCCCTGATCATTTCCAAGAAGGGTTCTTTGGTGCAGTCCACAGAATAAAAACACAGCATGCCTCTGAAACCATACATTTGTCAAAAGATAAATAAATACCTACTGCCCCTTTTACTTTCCTGTTCTGAACAAACAGATTGTGCTAAATAGACTGTTTGATTTTAGCTACTCTGAGTCAGACAGTATTGACATCTGGACAAGACTTCAACACACTTGGGTACAGCACCAGGCGAGCCGGCTGGGCACTGAGATTCCAAAGTCGGCCTGGAGGGAATGCAAACATAAGTCTAACGATTTTAGCAGCAGGCAGCTTATTCTAGTGACTTTCCTGTGTCAACACATGTGAAAAGATTAGAGAGAAAACTACTGGGCCAGTGAGCAGGTTCAGTACATAAAGTGTTCACCATAAGCATGAAGACCCAAGATTCATCCCCAAAACCCACATAAAAAGCCAAGAGCAGCAGCACACATTTCTAATCTTAGCACTGGGGAGGCAGAGATAGAAAGGTCCTTGGGCTTCATGGCCAGGCAGCCTAGTTGAATAAAAGACCCTGCCTCAAAACAGGAGGTGGTTATACCCCAGAAATGTTGCCTGAGGTTGACCTTGGATCCCCTCACATGCACACACACCATCTATATGCCCACAAAACCACACACAGCATGTGTGTACGGACACCTATATATACTCAAACACATGCAATATGTGTGTGTGTATACATACATGTATATGTATATATATATATATATATATGCATTATATTGTATATATATTATGTGTATTCTATAGAGATATGTGTGTATGTACATGCAGGACTGTGTGTGTATGTATGTGTGTGTAGGTAGGTATGTGTGTTTGTATGTATATGTAGGACTGTGTGTATATAGGTAGGTATGTGTGTTTGTATGTATATGTAGGACTGTGTGTGTGTATGTATGTGTGTTTGTATGTATGTGTAGGACTGTATATGTGTATATATGTAGGTGCATGTGTTTATATGTATGTGTAGGACTGTTTGTGTAGATGTATGTGTTTGTATGAATATGTAAGACTTCCCTCTCATATATATACATACATGTATATATATGAGGGAGAGAGAGAGAGATTGATTCTGAATCCTGAAGAAGTAGGCTCTAATGCCAGAGAAGGAATGGACTTGCCAC